AGTATGACAGAGTTAAGGTGTAAAACTGGAGAATACCACACCAGTACGTAACTGTAAGTCATTAGAAACGATGCTCTGAATATTGCACCATAGGGACAAGAGCTTGACAGCAAGGGTCACACCTTTTGCCACTACCATTGACCCTTACTTAAATTTGGTGAACAGTAATGTCCATTACCATCGTGCACGTATTTTCATTTTCTTCTTTGAATACGAAAGAATTGTTAGAATGGACTGGTCAACAGTTTCAAGTCTTATTCCCAAAGAAGACATTTGAGACTAGCTTCATAAATGTATCCTGCATCTACCTCGCCAACCAGACACACTGGGTTAGCTTTTAAATGTCTTGGTAATGTAATAGGATCATACTCTCAAAACTCCATCAAATACTCATACAACCTATGCAGCAACGTTGTAAAGCTGTGTTGGTTTCTCGAGATGGGCATATTCACTAAACATAAGCATTCCGAGAGTTTCTTTGTTGTTGTTTTTTTATATTCCCTGAACTATTGCGATGATATAAACACTCCAAAACTAAGATGTACGTCATGTGAGAACACTTGTGGGCCAGTTCTATACTAACATTTTGAAATGTTATGACCAAATTTATCTTTAAGAAAACAATAAATTTCACTGTAATTCAGCTACTCGCAAATTATATGTCATGAAGATAGATAGATAGACATGATAAATACATTTTAATTTAATGTTCTATATATCATACCTGTCTACGAAAATTAACTTTCCTTTTCAGATCTTCTGTTTGTAGAGTTTCGAAGTAACGTAATATGTTGTTTAGTTTTTCTTGTTGTCTGAAGCTGTACAAAAAGTAAGTTCGTTTATATAGTCACTCGAGAGAGATAGAGAGAACAGTAACTGATAGTATTTGATATATTTTAAGTTGTGGACCGTTTTTAACGTAACTACGTGTTTGAGACACATAATCAAATAACATTAAAAAGTATCTATTGTAAAATCAGTCAGACATAATGAAAAATTACATTCACATTTATCCGATATTTAAAAAAAATGCAAACTGGTATAAAAATTAGATTACAATCACTAAATAACTCGTGTATTAAGTCATATCTGACGCACACATAGTTATGGGTTCATAGCGAAGTAACATATTCTCCTTACGTATATGTGCATTCTTTAAAACAAACCAGAGTTTGTAACAATAAACGCGGAGCTACAAACTTGTAATTAATTTAAGGAGTTGTACGTACTTTTAAAGACATCAATGTGAATTGTGTTAGTGATATCCATAGCTTTAGCCTAGGTGCTTAGTGGGAAACAAGACACCCTAAAGCAGCTTATGAAACTAGAAACAGCTACTCCTTAAACTTTATCAGCAATATCTCAAATGAGCTACTTACTAGTCAGTTTTAACATTGTGCATTTGTCTTAAGAACATCGTAATAATAAAATACACGTTATAACAAGCAACTAAAATAGGAATAACTAATATTATTCCAACCTACCAGTATCTCTCTTCTAGGTCAGACATAGCTTAAAATGTTCCTATGAAAAGACAAGTACGTGCCACTCAAGTGGCTCTAGTTCTTTATTGAAACAAGTCAGTTACTTTTTCAACTTCAGAACACTACACAAGAACTGAGAAAAATAGAACTTATGAGTCCTGCCAAAATTAACGAAGTAAAAACTGAGACTTGTGGTACTCGAGTTCGCAATAACATGGGTTTGAAAATACCCTGAAAAGTTCTTGTTTTTACTTCAAAAAATCATATGGTATAGAATCGTACCTGATTAAGTTAATTACATTTATAAACTCATCACATTCTCGTCTGACGAGCTTTATATGTGTCTATTTTTTATAAAGTTAATTATTCATTAACTGGTTTCCTACTTCCCTGTTTGTAAAAGGAAGATAACATATGTTTTCGCCCCTATGATTAATATGTAAAATTTGAAAATGTTCAGTGTACATTGTGTTGTTTTCATATTATTGCCTTGATCAAAAGAGAGCTATTAAGTTTCTCTCACTTTAGTTTTTCTCCTTTTTTTTTCTTTTTTGACGACACGAGGTGAGTTCACCAAAGACGTCACTGTGTTCTCTATTAGAAAAGATTACTGTAGAATGAAGCATTATAATTACATACAAATCGTTTATATTGGTGAACAGGCTATGCCTGATAATATGGCCCTCAATCAAGTAGATAACGCATGCGCCTAGATAGAGATGGCTTTGTTTCTATTACGTTTTTATTTGTTTTTGACGCATTTGATTAGTTTTAGATATATTATTTGTTTTTAGCAATTCCAGCTTCTGTTCTGAGGCTGAGAGATTGATAGGTTTTCTTTGTTTCAAGATGTAGTTTTACAACTCTTGGTTTAATAATGATTTTTTTCTGTTCAAAGCTTAACATTGAACTTCAAAATTTTGTTGGGCCTTATCTTATTTTTTCACTTCTTTGTACTTTTCATTTGCAGCTTAATTTCAAACTTGAGGCATAACAAAGATATCTTTATCACTCTATTTCCCAAAACATTAATTTGTGTTTCATTTTAAATTGGACGATGCCTGTTTGTTATTATGGTGTATGGACAGGAAAGATTGAGACCAAGTAAGGCAGTGTCTATAGGACACCAAGGCATTTGCTGGCGAGAGCAGTAAAGCCCTGGCTCCGGCTGATACCACCTACAGCTGGCAGAGAGAGATTGGAGGTGCTTTTGTTAGATGATTTTCACCAACAGGAGCTGTTTTAGCAATAGGCAAAACAACATGCACGCACTGGTGAAGGTGCTGATCTGTGGGGCAGTGGATAAACTCTCTGTGATGAGAGATATGTTGTTGAAGCAATCACAGAGCAGCCTAGGGTCATGCAGGATCTTGAATGAGCTACCTCTGGTAACTCACTATTCTGTGACCTAGGTCATCTAAGTGTAAGGGGGTCAGCACCAGCCTACTCGACCACACAAACAAGACTTTCCATTCCAGCATGGATCAGGAGTTTATAGAGAAGAGGCTTACACCCAAACCATGGGTAACTGTGGTGAAGGTGAAGCAGATCTCTTTCTCCTGGTGTTTAAAGGTGGGACTAAGGAGAACTTTAATCATTTTTAAGGCATTTAAAGCTGGTCACTGTCTGTAATGGCTGGAATCAGGAGCATTATGGGTAAGGGGCTCCAGCTTCTTTACATCTTTGTGTATATACGTATATTTCTCTTTTTATAATATATTTAAGGTTATTTCTCTGTATATATGGACACATTGTACTATAATTGGTATTAAGGGGTTTATTTTGTGTACTTATGCATGTTTTTTTATTCGTATGGGGAGCTTAGTTTGTTTTATATGTATTTAAAAACTTTTTTTACAGAATATTCTGTGTATATGTATATTCGATTACGTTTCGTTTATATGTTGTATGTTTTTGGTTGCTTTAATGAGATTATTTTTAAAGGTTACTTCTTTGTTTTTTTAAATGGTTAATATAAGTTTAATATTGTTTGTTAAAACAATTATTTTACATTATATTTCTCATTAACGTCAAAGGTTTTGTGTCTATTTTTTTTCTCTGGATAACTTATATGAATTTTAAAGGTCATTTTTTAATCTGATGCTTTGAGTTACACCAATGAAATCTTAAAACAAACTTTCAAAAATACACAATAAAAGAGATACCACAAAATAACCCTTCACAATTCTGAGTTTCTGTTAAAGGGTTTTATTTTCTTGTGTTTAATTTATCTTCTGTTTTAATTTGTTTCTTCCTTTTGTTTAGTTTGTTTTCCTGTTTTACTCGTTTATATTATGAGGAAAGTGTTTTTACAGGTATGATAACAAATTACAGTGATTTTTTGACCGATGAGCGAGCTAATTTTTAATTCGTTTTTAAATTTTCAACTTTAAACTTTAAAATTTTGGGTTCGACTGAATTTAAATAGGTGGAAGAGAAATGTAGTTAACATGTAAAATCTGCAACATTTCAAAGAAAGAATTATATATATATATTATGGTTTGTTTGTCTTTTTTTGTTTTGTTTTTTGCTTTAGACAAATTTGGTGAGTCTTCGTTAGCTCCTTTATTTTTCGTGATTCTACCTTTAGTTTTGAGACCGAAAGACAGATGGTTTTTCTCTGCTTCATGTAGTGTTTTTTTTTTCTCTATCTCTTGATTTATAATAGATTTTTCTGTTCAAAGCTTAACTTTGATCATTTTGTTTAGCCTTATAGTATTGGTTCCACTTGTTTGTAGCTTTAAAAGGTTCATAGCTTACTTACACATCTGTAATGTTGAAATCTCTCTCCAGCTTTTACTGAGCACACAGAAACACTTGCATGTGTTTAATTTGAACATTGATTGTGCCTCTTTGTTAATAAAGATTGTTGATTTGTGTACTTCCGTGTTCAATCCCTTAATCAGAATCAGAGAAAAACAAACCTCTACTCTGTGGCATAGTATCCGACATAGGCGGAGGGGGCACTAAATACCTACTATTTTAAGCAAAATATTTTCTCGCCAGTTTTTCCTTACACTTTTAACAAAGTTAGTGGTACTTGAAGGACACGTTGTTTTTACCTTGAGGAAATCTGTAAGTCTGAAGATACCATAATGTGCAGATCTATTCACTCAATTCTTCACAGAGCTAATTACGAATCAATTGCATAGTCAACTAATCACCTTATAAATCTGCTATTTTCCAATTCCGGGTTAGTTAATTATCAGCTGTTAAATTACTCTGATACAAAACTATATAGGGGGTTAACAGCACTTTGAAAGAACGATTCGTATATAAGTTAATATGGTGGCGTGTCTCCACAGATGCCAACCGTGACACTGCGGGCGACAAATTTAAGACTTTATTTTATCTGGTTCACAGTTAGTTAATTACCGACTATTCGACGTGTAATGTCGCCGCGGATACCTTAAATATCCTTTCAAGGAAGATAAAATTTTATTAATTACGTACTGTTTAATAATAGAGAAACAATGCCCGTCACCCTTACATATAAAGTGCTAAAAATCATTCTGCGTCTAGAAATCAAATATACATTGTCAAAAACGAATGGTCAATGACAAATATTTTATAAGAAGCTAAAACAACAAACTATGATTTGATATGAATAACAATAGACTAGGCAATAATGCAGACAACTTGGTATAAACATGCTGCACATGTATTTGTAATACGTGAAGGTCTGTTTGAGCATTTGTATGACATTCTGTCCAACTAACCAAATTAATAATTTTTCAGGAGATGATGTCCTTTCTTACAATACCATGTTTATCTTCGATCAGGACATCTCCATATCAGTTCTCCTCCTCATCTCCAGGATCTGGTTAAGTCTTTTTAGCCTATCACTTCCCGTTATTACAAAGTTATACATATAATTCACGATCAAGCAAATTCTTTGCTAGATCATCAATTTAATGCAGAACTATATCTCTCTGATTCCCTAATAAGTGAGTGACTCACCAATTAATTATAGAAATTATTCTGAAAAACTACATTCGTTTGATTTTTGATCAGATTAATTTTTATTACTTGATCAGTTACTTTTGTGTATAATTATATTTATTTCGTATTGATCAAATATTTTTATCTATCAACTAATAACCTATTTTACTTCGGAGCTTATTTAACTGATTCCTGAACAACATAATGTTTCAGAAACTGATCATAAACTTTCCTATAGTTACTCTGTTTTTATCCGCGTCTCATAGAATGCCTCCGAGTTTGTTTGTTTCTTTGTTGTTGTTGTTGTTTTTTAATACAAACATTTTGCTCATAGCTCCATCAGCTCTTACCGAAATGAGATCTAATTACAGTTTTGGACTCAGGAGGTCAAACCCTTTCGACTGACGTATTTGATCACGCCCAATCCCATAGATTAATCTACATTAATCCTGCCTCAAATAATTTCAATTTCGGGGTAGGCTGGTAAAGATCTTAATGAGTAATAAAATTGATCGGGTACACGCGCGCCCCACGCTTGGTATTGCTGGCACACAATAATATAGGTAATAGAAAGGAGAAAAAGATCTCATAGATTAACTTACTTTAATCCTGCCTAAAATAATTTCAAGTGCCGCGGCTATTGAGGATTCCATCTTGTTTACGTTTTACTTGGTCATGTATTTCTGTGTACAGCTATACTTATTTCTTTCCTGATCAAGTTCATTTTCCCATAAACTGATCATACACTCGTGTCTGGTTTATTTTAAACTGGTTACTTACTCTTCTGTAGATGTACTTGTTATTCCTTAATCCGTAAAGATTTGTTTCAAGTTGTATTTGCGCTTTTACAGAACATGTTTAAGTAATTTATTAACAAAGATTAAGTAGTACTTTCCTAATATACTTGTAAAGTTTCTTGTCTAATCTAGTACAGTCCACTTTCGTATATTTGCCTAAACAATTTTAGAATTTCGAGAACGTTTTCAGTATATTCCATATTTTACAGTTCACGTATCTGTTACTTGTGTACTTGTAACATACTTTGTGACTTAGGCCATGCTAGGATATTCTTTTAGTTCATGGTCCGGCATGGTCAGATGGTTAGGGTGCTAAACCAGTAACTTGAGGGTCGCGGGTTCGAATCCCCGTCACACCAAACATGCTCGGCCTTTCAGCCGTGGGGGTGTTATAATGTGAGGGTCAATCCCACTATTCGTTGGTAAAAGAGTAGCCCAAAAGTAGTCTTACACTGCTAAATTAGGGACAGATAGCCCTCGTGTAGTTTTGCGCGAAATTCAAAGCAAACAAACTTTTAGTTCAATCTATAGCTTTAGATGTGAATAATATGCTTGGAGTTTCTGTGTTAAAATCAAATAACTCACAGATTTTAGATGTGAATAATATGCTTGGAGTTTCTGTGTTAAAATCAAATAACTCACAGATTTTAGATGTGAATAATATGCTTGGAGTTTCTGTGTTAAAATCAAATAACTCACAGATGAAATTTAAAATCCAAAGTTCCTGTCAAGCGTCAAGTCCACTATTTGTATTTACTTTGTTGTTTTGTTACATTCAAAGCTTGATAAATTCATAATTTGATTCAACATTAGGAACTCTTTAAACATTATTTCAAAAAGCCTTATTTTAACCATCATTCTCTGTTTTAGAAACATGTACAAACCCACCTTAGCAAATATCGAAAAAAATTGCTAAAGCTGAAATCTTGAAGAGTTGGGTGTGTTTTTAAAGTCCGCCTGGGAAAGGTACAGAAAAAAGCGTTGGCTAACAGAGACGTCACAAATGTCCGGTCAAGGGTCACTGTACTTTCTGAGAAACAAGTAATATATCAAAATAATTTAAAAACTTCATTCACTTAATTCGCTGAACATACGTATAATAAAAAACAACTTGTGACAATAAAAATTGCAAATTGTCTCCAAAAGTAAATAGTAACAAAGAAATATTCAAAGGATGAGGAATAACTGTGACAGATAGATAAATAATACCTTCTTGCTGTAAGCTGTATTGAAGTCCTCGTGTCGGTTTGAGAAGTTTTAGGTTGAGGGCACTCTTCACCAAAGAGGGATGTACCACTTTGAAGAAGTGAGCTCTTTCCTCCGTGTTAAGTGTTTCTTCAAGAAAATACCACAAACCATCAAACCTGCTCACTTCAACGGCATTTATAGTATCATCAGGGTCTAATCCAATGCTGGCAAGTACACAATTTAATACTTGTATATTCTTGTAAGATCAAAACTAGAAATGCAAATACAGATTCAAAGCGTAAGAGGTATTAAGCAGAAGAAGAACCTGTCACACTTGTCTTATTTTGCCAATACGTAGAATATTTGAATTTATTATTAGACAATTTTTCCTTGTTTCACTTGCAGTTTTTTATATTAGATACATTAATCAAGACTTGTATACAATTATTTCATTGACTTTAACTTCATGTAAAAAATGTAAAAAGAAAGATGAAACAACAATATTAGAGCCATCATTCGTCTTCTCTACTTTTAACATTACACCTCCTGGCCCACTTTGAAAACTAGCTACTCCGCTTGTATTAAAATGCACATATTAATCCTAAATAATATATTAACTTCACATGATAGTGTGTTATTTAACATCACATTGTATGTTCTCCTATTTGTTTTCTAACGCGTTTGTAAAATTCCATGAAAGAAGTTTCATTGTTCTTAACTTTTCAGTACAATTTTTACGAAACGGTCTATCTTTTGATAACTTCACAAGATAGTGCTTGTCGTATTTTACAAATCCTGGGGTTTGTAATTTTAAAATGTTCGCCAGTTTTGAAATGTTTAGTTTTAATTACTTTTCAGTTTATTGTTAACCAAGTTAAAAAATACACAAATCTTATTTCTTAACGCAACCTCAAAATTTTTACTTCTCTGCTTCTGTTCCTTTACTTATAAAACTCAGTCCTTCTTCGTGCGTTGTTGCGTCGCTAATGTTAAACTTATTTTATTTCTTGAATATTTCATAGATATCTGTAAACTTTATAAAGTTTATCCTCGAAATATTAAGTTTCGATTTGAGAGCGTTGAGTTATTCTCCTTTCCAATTCGCTCAAATCAAGAAATGGTCAAATAATGACGAACATACCTACATCTCTCGTGTATTTTCTGCATCCCAGCTATCAGCTCTTCTGTTGTTTGAATTCTTAACAGATGAGTTAGTTCACGTTGAAGATCCACCCAATTCGGCATGTCACACGGAAGAAGTACATGCGCCATTTCACAGCGATAGTTCTTGTTACTAGAACGTGTTTAATAAGACAAATAGACACAACTATTTCAGAAGCTACGATTTGTATGCTCAAATTGAAACTGTATTCACTTCATTAAGTGCATTCATTCCGTTGTCGAGTGAATTCTTACCTAAAGTAATATACTTTCATATAAAATAATAAAAATACTGTATTCCCAAAATATTGTCGATCAGTTTTGCTTTTAAAATAGAAGATCTAACCTCCTGTTTCATGCTAAAATAACTGTTTTATGTTTCCATTTATTTTGACAAATAAAACAGGAGAGTTAATTAAGGTTTTATCATACTTGTTAGGGCAAACTAGATTTCCTAGGTATCAGATGGAAGAGCATACACTAAAACTGAAGATACGTTTTTGTTCTGTTTTTTTTAATGGACTGGAGCTTCACATAATTTGAAAACTCAAACACATAAAGGAGAGTTATTTTTTTTTTTTAGATTTCATTTTTTCTTATTTTTATATAAACACCTAGGTTCCTTTTGGTAACGACAACAGTGGTTAAGATCCCTTCTTAATCCTATTTATTAGAAATAGCTTTCGAACCTCGTTTTGTCATTTTAAAGAGGTTTCTTTGTTCGGGTGTTTTTAAGCATAAAGTTGCACAATGGACTACAAGCGCTGTGTCCTCAGAAGAAGGGGTTGAGCCCGAATATTAGCGTTGTAAGTCCTCAAGCTTACGGCTGAGCCATCAGGAGGCAATTAAGGATGTTAATAAAAATATTCATTATAATTCCATGCACAGGTGTTAGAAATATGTAGTGAAGTAAATGTTATTTGATTATTATTTGTAACTCTTTCTTCATAAGTGAATGACAATCAAAGTCTCGTGTTTTATGAATTCCTTGAAGCTGTATAACATCTTCGAGGCTATTCTTTTCAAAAATGCCACAAAAGCACTTGAAAAGTCCTAGTTTATGAATAAGGAATTGGTTTGGAATTCGTAGCCAAGATAGGATTCAAATTACAAATAACTCAGGTTTTTGTTCCAGAGTAGATTTTGAATATATCTGTCAGTGTGTCATTTGTTGTAATATCCAAGTTTTGAGCATTGTTTATTAGATGTATCTATATGGTACTCCTCAATTATATCTGCTTAGCTATGTTTGTATAATGTTTTAACTCTCCTACAACTGTTGATAAAACAGCCTTAAATTGGGCGTATAAGCTCTTAATCCCCGGATGATATAAAATAATTCAAAACAAGGTTCTAAGGAATCCCAAAGAAATGGGAATTTGGGTGCTGTATTTATAGCAAAGCTAATAAGGCTACATGTCGTCGTCCTTAATTTTGAACTAGTGACCAGAGCGAAGACAGCCAGTCAGGAGCACACTACCAACCAAATATCCACCGTCAGATATTGTGTCACATGATTTGGACCGGGCTGGTCAGTTCCCGCTCTACCACAGAGCCAACCTGCTACCTGGATTTGACTGAATTAATTTACCAAATAACAAATTAACAAATTATGAATTATTTTTAGAAACGATCTTAATTCAGATTTTGAAAAATTCTAAATTGGAGTACTTATATGGGACCAAATGGATTTTGTGGCTCTTAAGACTAGATCTTCGGCATTGGCACGTAAGAAGTCGTTCAAAATAAACACATACATTTACAGTTTAGAGTTTTTCTCGTTAGAGTCCTTAGATGAGGAATCAAAAATATAGATTATAATAATTATTTTATTCTTGAACATGGGGATAAGATGGGGTGTTTACTTCTAGATTAGCTTTTTAAATTTTATAATTAACGAACATGTATTCTAACTAGAATGGTGGACTCTCTTAAAATTGTGGTCCTGACAAATGGTCATCCTGCTCTCGGCTGTGATTATGTTTGAAGTTTGGTTTTATCATAAAACTGTACCTATCGTTTCTCCCATGTAGTGTCGGGACTTGTGCTATTACAAAGTAAAGATGTTTAAAAACATGAATATTGATAATTATAATGAATACTTTGTGTAATTTAGCATTTTATGAAACGAGATCACGTAGACTTCCGTTTAGTTTTCATGTTCATACAGAAGTGATGTAACGGATGTACAGCTTGTCCAGAAGAAAGGGGTGAGAACAATTAAAGTTTGTCTGTTTGTTATGGATTTCGTGCAAAGCTACACGAGGGCTATCTGCGCTAGCCGTCCCTAATTTAGCAGTGAAAGACGACATGGAAGGCAACT